TCGTAGTGGGTCGTTGTGGGGTCGTAGTGGATCGTTGTGGGTCGTTGTGTGGTCGTTGTGGGTCGTTGTGGGTCGTTGTGGGTCGTTGTGGATCGTTGTGGGTCGTTGTGGGCTCGTTGTGGGCTCGTAGTGGGTCGTTGTGGATCGTTGTGGGGTCGTTGTGGGTCGTTCCATGTTTTAGTAACTACGACTTTTAATAATTAGTTATGCAATGTAGGGCACTATCTTAATGACATGCACAACGCGGTCATCAACACACAAAGTTGAAAAAATTCATCATTTAGGATACAAAGTGAATGATACACCATGCACGTGAAACCGTGGAAGAAGCAGTATTTGGAGCTCTGGTCCAGTGCAAAGGCAAAGTGACATGTCATAATCATAAATCATTGTTTTTGATCCAGTCTAATATAGGACTAAATTAATTTTGAGTGAGTGTTAGAACTGGATCAGGCCATTTTACTAGATATATACATAAAGTATAAAACGGTATATTATTCTTCATAATTGCAAGTTCATTTTCTAGGACGTCAAACTGTTAGTCATTTCTATAGTCAATGACAGTGCATGATTGTATGAGACAAGTATGTCAAAGTGAAATGTGTTTTTAGAATGACGGAATAAGCTCACTAACATGCATGGTGTACGTCGGTGGGTAAAGTCAGTTCCAAAACTTAGTTGATGAGAGTTTCCAGTCACGAAATGTCACAGGGGGCATTTCAAGCTCTATATATATGTTCAGACCAGTTAGTACTGAAGTCTATTAATTAAAACGACCTACGCACAAAAAATAGACGTGGCACGTATATCTTATAATCATGCCAAATAGCTTTGACTGTTTAAGAATTTTATACTAAAAATATAATGATGGGCCAGTTTACTGTTGCGTGGTTATAATTAAGTCTTCAGTGAGGCTTATTAAAACCTTTAAAGCTAGGCTTAATACATATTCGTATTTTAATGCTTTTTTTATCGAAAGAAGTGATCAAATATCACCCCAATATACGTGTTTTGCATTGAACTCCACATTGTGAAATACATTTAGAGATGGACCGTTCATGGACTCTTCCCAACTGGAATCGTATGAAATCGACACTGGATAGAAATCTTAGAGCAACTGTTTTACTTCAAAATTTCTTCCAATTCTCTACTATCTTTCTGACGCAATGCTCTGATAATTCATGCATCCTTCTGCGATCATCGTGAAATGACTGCCCGGTGGGTTGTTGAAAACGCTTGAATTAATTTCAAACGTTTCAAACAACTTATCATTCCGTATCGCAAAACCTTCGCCAACAACTTCCGCGTCGTTCACAGATTCACCGAAGGCATTTCTGTAGACAGTTCCGTGAACTGTAACCAGGCTCTTTACTCATCCACTTCTTAACATTTTCTGAATCTGAGTCTTGAATGACGATATAGCCAGACTTGCAGTGAGTGCATGTTGTTGGCAGTTCTCCATTCTGACTTGCTGTCGTATTGGTAAATAATCACTCCGCCATAGTTGTAACCAGGTTGATATATGTCAGATTGGCAGGAAATATGCATGGTTTCGACTGAAACTTCTTCCTTACCATAAGACTGAGGGGTTATTACAATGTTGTCTTTATCAGGTGGTGCGACAAAGCTACCACCAAAAGATACTTCTCTAGCTACATTCGAATTAAGCAAATTATCACTACTATTGGCGATTGGTAGCTTTGTTAGCGTAGGGAATATTAAAAGGTTGTCTTCCTCAGCTGGTGCGGCAAAATTACCTCCAAAAAAGCCCGCTTCTGCAATATCATTATGAGTGACATTATCATAGTTTTTCATTGGTAGCCTTGTTACTGTTAGTTCACCTGTAATAGGGTCAAGCTTTAGTTTCTCTGACCTCTTCTCCATGACACCTGAAGCGATTTGAGATTAATGCGGTGCAGACACCCCGTGGTGCAAAGCAAACCAAAGCATGATTTAGTGTGCTTGGTCAATCACACTAAAAATGTTACACTGTCATAAATTAAACTATATTTATGTAAGATATTTCAAGAAAATCATAATAATAACAACAGGTTATAAATATTCACTGAAATGAGGTCATTCTAGTGCTGAACAATCCACTCTTCTCGACCAATGAAAAGGGAAAAGGAACTACACTTAATATTCAAAACTCATTAAAAGAAAAATCATAAGCGTGTCCTACCTTTATGTGGTAGAGATTTCCCTTGATTTACATAAACTTTAACGTCGATTTTCTCGACTTACACAACGTATTTTTTGAAAATTACTTCGCCAATGAACTTACTAGATCGATCGTTTTTGAAGCAATTAAAATATTCGCAGTGCGTATTTTATCTGACCTAAAGATACTCGGCTTCGCCTCGTATCTTTATATCTAATAACACACTGCTGCTCATGTTTTAAATGGTACTTTAAAATCCGAAAAGAAAGACTGGAGGACTTTACGTCGTAGCAGTTTGTTTGATGTCTGAGGCAAAGACTAGTTAAGGTCTAATCCCATCCGCAAGCAACTCGGTAGCCAAATGCAGAATTACGCAATACGTATAGAAAAATGATGGCGGTAGGAGGGTGGGTTCTTTAACTTTCGGTATAATATATTATTTATAGACCCTCCGCTCGGGAGATTCGGCGGAATATTACCTGAAGTGATGATATTTTCCGAGGGGCTTTGCCCTCATTTGCCCTCATTTTGCCATCATCACTTCAGGTAATATTCCGCCGAATCCTCCTCGCTCCGGGTCTATAAATTATAAATATATACTAATACTATAAGTTGATATCACAGTGCACTTTTTTCTACGACCCAAACAGCTAGAATACCGAGATCATGAAGTTTGCCGTTTCGTCAAGAATTTTACTTTATAGACTATAGGCGGGAATAGCGTAATAATGTTACTGTAACAGCGTGAATAGAGTAAATTTTGACTCCTGCGAACAAGACAAGACGATAACTCCCATTTCTAAAAATTGAAACGCGTGTGCAGCACAGGCTGCATGCTGTGATCCAATTGCAATTTATCCCACGACAGAAAGCACAGGCTGCATGCTGTGATCCAATTGCAATTTATCCCACGACAGAAAGTCTCATTCGGAGTCGTTCAGGTTCTATTTTTAAAATAAACTAGGAATTATTCGGATAGGATTACTAAACTAGAAGCAGGTTCGCATACCGTTTACTAAACTAGGAGTTACTATGGAAAGGAAAGCGCTACCTCAAACGTGACGCTCTCAAAAGATAAATCGGGAAAAGGCATGAGCACGCATTGGACTATTTTGTGTTGTTTAAAACGCTGATAAGACCACGAGTACAACTAAACACTGAAATGATCACGACAAAAGATCGCGCGAAAGACTGGGTCAAGTGAACTCTAGAGAAACGTTATCAGTGTCGTGAATAGTGTGTTGCCTTCTTTGCTTGGCAGAAAATAACATTACGTTTGCATAATTGTTGATTAACCAATCAGGATTCGTTTCAGAATCCACCACATACTATTTAAGAAGCTTTTAAGCTCTGACTCACTGATGCACAAGTCTCTTTTAAAGTCGGCACGCAAGCTATCACTGTATTTTAAGGAATATAAACGCGAGGTGTTATGGACCATTTAGTTATGGATCGCCGACCTCAATTAGAATTTGACCCACAAACAGGGAAACTAAGACTAGTAGAAAGAAGAAACTCTGACCACCTGCACAACGTAATCAGCGTAGAAATGGATGCACGTGGTTTCTTTGGTGGTTGCTTTATCGTATCGCATGGGAATGAAAGTATCTTCATAGCTAGCACTAGCGAGGGGTCTATTAATGTCAAGAGTATGCATATTTCGTGCAAATCTGACACGTACCAACCTGGCCACAACTATGGTGGAATCATTATTTACCAATACGACGGCAAATCAGAATGGAGAACCGCCAACAACACTCACTGTAAATCTGGCTATATCGTCATTCAAGACTCAGATTCAGAAAATGTTAATCAATGGAGAGATGAGCCTGGTCAAGTTCACGGAGCTGTGTATAGAAATGCCTTCAGTGAATCTGTGAACGACGCGAAAGTCGTTGGCGAAGGTTTCGCAGTACGAAATGGAAAATCGAAAGTTGAAAAATTTGAAATTAATTCAGGCGTTTTCAACAATCCAAAGGGCAGTATACATCATGACCATCGCAAAAGAATGCATGAATTGTCGGAGCATTGCGTTGGAAAGATTGTGGAGTATTGGAAGACTGCAGGTCCTTCCTGGGTCAGACAACGAAATTTTGAAGTAAAGCAGTTGCTCGAAGATTTTGATCGAAAATCGATTCAAAACGATTGCACTTGGGACGATTTATTTCCCCAAAATTAATTTCAATATTTGGAGTTCAATAGGAAACGAAATAACTCCATTGGGATAATATAGGCCTATGTATATATACTCTATGATACATATAGATAAAGTTTTTTCAAATATTATATATATTTCAAACTTTTATAGTGTTGGGTAAAAATTAACCAAGGATATGCGATAATAAAAAAATATACGTATTATACTGTAGCTTCAACTTCGTAGTGTCAGAGACAGAGGCATATACTGTTGAAGATTTTAAAGTATCCACTGTACCAAAGAGCAAAAGACCGTACAAACCACAAACCATGTATGTATATTTAACAATTATGCCATGATGAGAGCAAAACATCAGTGAGTAGGTATGATTGCATATATGTATATAATATAGCCATTCATGCATTAACTGCAGCAATAAATATATTCTTCCGCTATTGCAATGTTTTGACAGTTTGTTTATATAGGACAAAAACCGCGCCGCTAACTTGAATTGGCCTCAAAATATGAAATGTTTTTGTTTGAAATCTCGAAGTGAAATAAAGCGAATATTTTCCTTTTCTCTGCTTCATAAAGCCCCTGTAGTTTATCGGTGCCACTATCCTGTTTTTCGCTACTCGCTATGTGAGCTGATGTATGACGAGTAGCTCAGATCAACCAATTTCTGTCATCATCTCAATTTATGATTAATTGTTTTCGTATAAAATCATTGAAATGTTCTTTGGAAGCAAAGATGCATAGGCGGTTGTTGTGAATTAGGTGACCGGTTTGTCTTCATGAAAAATCTTAAAAACAGAACTTTTCTTACACTAACGTTACTCGTTAGCCTTGAACATTAATAAATCAAATGCTTTTGCTGCAAGCGTTTTACTTTAAAACTTTAGTTCTTATCGTTTTATAAAACAAGGTTGAACAGACAAAATATTTTCCCACAGAAACCAAAGAGAGAACAGTTTGACATCCTTAGCAAATTAATTATACTTTTCTTAAGTTAATAAAAAAGCAAGGTCAGTTTTATCTGATGATGAGTTTCTGTGCATGTATGATGCAACTACCCGAAAAATGGAACGAACCTCGACGCTCCGAGCGAAGATCGTTCGTCTGGAAGACTTGGAGTTACCTGTACGTTAGTAGCCAGCTTGGAAGTATAAGTAGCTGTTAACTTCCAGACGAAATTCCTTCGCTTAGAACCGTGGGAGTTTATTCTATTTTTTTAGATGATTGTATCATATACTGTACCTACTCTCTGTACAGTATCTGGCACCAGAGAAAGGAGAACAGTTTGACGTCCTCATAACAATTAACTTGCCTCAATGGAAAAAGAATAAGGTTATTATCTGATCGGTTTCTGTGTAGGATGCACTGATCTGAAAACTATAAGACTGGATATAGAGTAACCTTTTGAATTCAAGCAGCCAATTTTGAAGCCAGAGTATTTATAATGTATATTAAATTAATGAGATGAAATTTTAAAATCTGTCAAAATCTCTTCAAATCTGATCGCGACGTTTAAAATTAGCTGCGTTATCAAATAAATGTCTTTTCTTATGTAACTTGAAAGATATAGCTTCCCACATCTCTGTAGTGAGTTTCAGAACGTTTTAAAGCGTAGATAATGAGACTTGTGTCGGCCATCTTGGTGTGACTTCATTAGAGTTATTCACGCGCAAATTTAAGGGGAAGAGTAGCCTGCGTGGCAGGCTCGTTCCCACGCAGGCTAAGGGAAGAGAGGCCACTGATGATAAAGTTCTATCCAAACAATGTTTACTCTTTGCCACTAATAGCCAGAAACTGTAAGAACCTCTTCTACTATGTCACCAACACCATTTATGCATAGCAAATGAACCATCCATTGTCAGTTTTGAGATCAATGGTATATGGTGACACTATAGCCAGCCAGTGTAAAACAGATTATAGAAGTTAGTATGTCCTAACTTTGCAGATGAAGGGATTCGCTCGATATTACACATACACATTTTACTAGATATATACATACACATTTTACTATATATATACATGATTAACATAAAGTATAAAACGGTATTGTTCTTCATAATTGCAAGTTCATTTTCTAGGACGTCAAACTGTTAGTCATTTCTATAGTCAATGACAGTGCACGATTGTGTGAGACAAATATGTCAAAGTGAAATGTGTTTTTAGAATGACGTAATTAAGCTCACGAACATGCATTGTGTACGTCGGTGGGTAAAGTTTTCCAAAACTTAGTTCAGTGATGAGAGTTTCCAGTCACGAAATGTCACAGGGGGAGCATTTCAAGCTCTATATATACAGCCAATTCAAAAAGGTTGTCCTTTGCAAACCTTAAACTCTGGCTAACCCGTGAGGAGATATTTACCATGTCTCTAACAAATGGGCTTCCTATACTGATAAAATAATATCCTCCCATTATGCTTTACATGTTTAGAGTTTAAGGTTTGCAAAGAACAACCTTTTTGTATTAGCTATACTGGTTCAGATCAGTCAGTAATTATAATACTGAAGTCTATTAATTAAAGTATGAAATCGTGTTTAATCATCCGTTCAAAACAATTACCTACGCACCATTGTCTCGTTGCTTGAAACAACCCTTTCAATAATTTACAACAAAAAATAGACGTAGGTAGGTAGGTAGGTAATACTTTATTTAAAATTAACAGAAAGAAGACCACGCTAGCCCCATCAACTCTAGGCTGGTTTCCATGGGGGGCGTGT